AATCATTGAGACTTGTACATTTCGTAAAATGAAAGACACAAACGTATTTGTTTTCGCCAGTGTGTTCAAAATAATAAAAAAACTTTAACGGAATTCCTTGGCGAGTAACAAAAATATTCAATTTTACTCCCCTGATCCATAAATATAAACACAATGACAAAATTCTCAAACGGATTTTGCCCTAAAGTCAAGTGGTTTCTAACTAAATTTAAGAGAGGGAAACTAAAACAGAATAATAAACATTAATTCAAATGAATGGAATTTATAATTAGTAATACTTATAAAGGAGCCAGGGTGGTCTAGCGGTTAGAACACTGGCCTTGTAATCCTGGGGTCTCGGGTTCGATTCCCGGCGGTGCCCGAATTTATAAGTTGTGTTGGGCAAGGCCGTGGTCTAGGCAACACGGAGTTTTCCTCCGGGAGCTTCCCCGGTTTCTCCGTGGCATCCCAACAATTACTCCATTCACACACAGAAGAAGGCAATGGCAAACCACTTCTGGATCATCTGCCAAGAACGTATATGAACAGGTCCCAGTCCGAGAAAAGGATGGAAGGATCCTGTTCATATGGACCTGTCGTCAGACAGAACACTACAAAAAAAACTTATAAAATATAATTTAAGCCTTTAAACAAAGTCCATAAACAAATTAAACTAAACAAAACAGAATATGGATGTCTTCTTCTGATAGAATTTCAAATTTCCAGAGGTCCTTGCTGATAAATTAATCATGATTTGATTCAACGCCCTGATGATGGAGGCAGCAAGGACCTCTGAAACGTTGGAAAACTTCTGTCAGACTTCACGACGCTACAATCCAGCAGACAGCAATCTTCAGACTCACCGCCGTGAAAACCACAAATCCTACTAGAACAAAATAGCTTGATATATCTACAAGTTCTTTACCGACTTGGAATGATATTCGAAAGACGCAGACGGGAGGACATTATAAAATATTACAATGAATATTACGAAAACACGTTGGTAGATTGAATTCATGTGGCACAGGATGGCGAGCTCTTGTGTTCACAGTAATGAACTGCCCAGTTCCATAAAAGTTGGGGAACTTTAGACGAGCGACCATCAGCCTCTTAACTAGGACTCTACCCGACGGAGCTAAGACATGTCTTGTCTAGCTACTTAACTATCGAATGAAGAAGACAATTCTGTTGCATAGAGCTGGTTAGTTCATTGGTTAGTCAACTTAACGCTAATTCTGTCCAAATTAAAATTGAATTCGTTAATGCAGAACAGAGACACTGGTACGTCACCATGGACTTGCTCTGTCTCACAGATCGCTATATTAGCACAATTCGACGAAGATAATAATTTTCATTAGCTTTCTAAACAGTTTAGCGAATATACAAATGAGATCTATTTAAAGACAAGTGACGAACAAACAGATCATGAATACAGCTGTCACCTGCGACTATGAGACGCCTTGCATCATATTAGCAGTGTTGCCACACACGCAACTGTTTGCCCTTCAATGCAAATTCAAGTTATATCAGCTCGACCTAAATCCAGAAAAGCCTTTGTAGTCTTCTAGAGTTACAAACCATGTCAGTGTTCAATAAAGTTCTTTTTCTGAAGTACATGCTGTTCCATGATAAGGCCTTTTATGAGGTTAGCACGCCTGTTTCATGGGAGGTCCCGAGTTCAAATTTCTTCTGGAGACCGGTAATTTTTCCTCAGTCATTCCAGACAAGTGCCTCAAATTAGGACACGACCGCTTCCTTCCATATCCTTTCCAAATAGCTATTAATTAATCATCCTAACGGTTTTCAGTGTGAACGTTCAGCACTTTCGAATTTTTTATTATGCAGTTGATTTTATTTATATTTCTTCATTTATTTTTCTTTGTGTATAATATTGTTTCTATTTCGGGTTTGCCTGTATTTGGCTGTTATATTTAATACTGTACTTGTGTACAGAGTGATTCAAAAGGTTAGGGCCAAACCGAAGGAGCGTATTGAAGGACTCAGAGAGAACAACTTTCGAATAGGAATCCATGCCCTCCGAAGTTATCCTGAGTCAGTCGAGGCCATTGAAGGTAGGGAAGTCTGATAACATACCGCTGAAATAATCGTACTTTGCTAATTCAATCCTTGTACATTAATAAAAAATAAAATTAAGCTAGTAGGAGAATAGCAAAGTAAGATTATTTCAGCGGTATGTTGTCAGACTTCCCTACCTTCAATGGCCTCGACTGACTCAGGATAACTTTGGAGGACATGGGTTCCTATCCAAAAGTTGTTCTCTCTGAGTCCTTCAATACGCTCCTTCAGTTTGGCCCTAACCTTTTGAATCACTCTGTATGTTTAGTTAATCTGTTTGTGTAATATTTTTCATTATTACTTCATTATTATCGTATGTATTATCAGTGTTTGCCTGTTATTGGCTTCTTGATGTTGGCAAACACTTAAATAAATGAATTGAATAACATATTAGGTCTTATACTGGTTTTCTTTCAAGAGCTTGGTATGGAAATACAGCGCCACTACAGTGTATACTGTGAACTAACCGACAAAGAGCCACTCGCTGATTTTATTGTACGGAGTGATCGAAAAGTCACACAACCAATTCCTGACACAATCTATTTGTCAAAAAATTGATTAAACTGAAATCGTCAAATATAAAACAATGTTGTATCAAGTGTTGGAATGTCCACCGCGTTCAGCGATGCGTGCATTAACATTGACGGTCGACCAGAACGTTTACTCCCCCTGTCCGCTTCCCGTGTTACGGAAAGGGTTTACCAGACGAGATACCGTCGATTTGTTTCGCACAGTGGAGTCGGGAAATGTATTCCAGAACTCTTTCTGGCAAGTTAAATAGAAACGAGGTGCCAGGCAGTTCTCTACAATGAACAGTTGTTACACCTGTGAAAGACACTTCACTGTTTGAAGACATCTGACGTACTGACGCGAGCAGGTTACAACATAACGTGCCCTGTGTGAGCTCTTGTATAGTCTAGTCGAATTGTTACGAATTTCAGACATCAATAAAATTGTAATATGGGTTGCGTGACTTTGCCTGTGTAAACCCACTGTAATGGAATACAGTCACGTTCAGAAATGAAGGCATGGAAAAATTCATAGGATGAAGAAAGAAAGAACATATGATGTAATAAGAAATAAAGATCGATGTTTTCATGTAAAAGTGTATGCCGGTTGTTATGCATGACTAAACAGCGGAAGAATCGAGGGCGCTAAACATTTATCCTGTATAATTCGAGTTACTAACAACGTAGTTAAATAAAATACAAAAACAAACAAACAAACAAGATAAAGGTTTACGAAAAAAGTGGAATTATGGATAAAACACACATTCACACATAAAAAGACCATTTTTGTATCTATACTTGGGGGGGGGGGGCAAATAGTTTAATTATAAATGAAAGATTTTGAACCGTGTGAGTGTTATTTACTAATAAAATGGCTTCAGCTAGAGAGGACTTCTTTGATAACGGTGGGCAGAAGTTTCAAGTTTAGTGTAAGTTCGTCTGAAGTCTACGCATTATGTTCGAAACATATTCCGAACACAGACATTTTACGAAGTATATTGGGACAGTGCAGCCACACTTTGCGTTCACTTTAAAGCTGTAATATAACAGATTAGTGTAGTAATTCCGCAGGTCATTTTCAACACACCAAAAGAAAAATTTCCCTGACAACTTCTTAATACTTCTTTGATCTGCTCAGAGGCTAGTAAAAGTAAAGTTTGTCCCACTATACGCCATGTAGGCATTTGGGGGGTGAGTGGTCAGCATCACGCCCCGGCCGGCTTTACCCCCGGGAAAGGACCCCGGTACCCATTGTAGAGGAGGCTGGGTGGGCCCCAGAGCCGGTCTGGACGCAGAGGCTAGAGGAAAAATCCTCTGCCCCCGTCGGGGATCGAACCCCGGTCGTCCAGCCCGTAGCTAGTCACTATACTGACTGAGCTATCCCTCAGAGGCTAGTGCAGAGAACAAATAAGAATAACAGTACAACTCATTTACTAATTTTTATGAATCATTTCCGTTAATAAACATAGAATATCTCATTATCTGAAGGTTTTTTGACATAATTTAAAAATTTCGCATATTTGTTGTCTTATACATAACATTAAAACTGTGTTATTTTGTAGTTCGACAACGGTAAAACCAATTTACACCAAACTTGACATGCTTATTCCTTGAGATCAGCAAAAGAATTTAAAAAGGCCAAAACTCCGGAAAAACAGGTCCTGAGTTCGAAACCCCGTGAGAGTGGTTTCTGTATCTTGGAAACTAAATACGATAAAAAACGACACTAAGTCCAAACTTGATTCCTTCGTCGAGGAGATTACATGAACAATGGCTACAGAAATAAAGAAAACTGTCCTGGGTTCGAATTCCGTTGAAGATGTTTTCTGTACCTCAGAAACTAAGCACGAAGGCGCAAAGAATAAAACTGTTTGTTTTGGGAAGTACATTACAAAAAGTAAGGTCATAAACACGAAAATTGTCCTGGGTTCGAGTCTCGGTGAAAATGTTGGGTTTGGGAATAATAATTTCTAATGATATTCAACTATAAATATTAAATGGCCAGGCCTATGACAAGCTTAAAAGAAATAAAAACTCGTAAGAAATGTATTTGTCGAATTTCCCCGAGTAACAACGCGGGCACTCTGCTAGTTAACATACAAAAATTATTAACATTTGTAGCCATGTAAACGATTCGCTTCAGTTGCTAATTTTGCATTCTTAGCCGCTAAGATTCATTTGTTGAAACTGTGAAACGGAAAGGTAAACAATCGATGCTGCAGACAGCCATTTTAAAGGTTAGACAGTAAAATGGCCTCCCATGACATGACATTAATACCGTGTTTCATGAAAATCACGTGCTTTAAAAGTTATAACACGCACATGGACGAATAATTGTAGTGGGAACTGAAATATGAAGAATAAAGGGATATTTGTGATTTAAGTCTCGTGTCATTAAGGTATTAGGGGTTGCATACTCATAAAATCATTACTCACTTGTTTAGATGTGAGGATGGGTTTCCAGAACTCTGTCCGTCATTCCCTGGAACAAAAATTTGAGTTACTACATTTTACCAACCCTGCAAATTAACGTTTATTAATTCGTAGGTAACTAAAGAATACAGTTGATAAATTACGTCGCAAAAAAAAAACAAATGTGAAATACAATAATTTTATTCACCGTCTTTACACAAGCTTATAGATTGTTAAAATCACATAAAATTATAACATTTCAACATTTGATTTGAAGCCTGGAGGTTAAACAAATAAAATCTAACGGGTAGAACAAAATCAGTATACGCAGGGCAGCAGATGCAACAGTTTTTAATTTTGATTGATAGACCTGACGATGATGGAGTGAACATCGAAACATGTCGTCATTTTAAAATGTAACAATATCAAATGTTGAAATGTTATAATTTTATGTGATTTTAACAATCTATAAGCTTGTGTAAAGACGGTGAATAAAATTATTGTATTGAAGAACACAAGCATGACGCAATTAAGATATAAGATATAAATGTGAAATAATTAACAATCTGTAACTAGCCCTGAAAAACTGAAGCTAATGACAATAAACCTGAGTATAGCGTGCCTCTCGAACCAAGGACTTCTGAATACGGCTCCAATTCCTCGTTCCATTAGTGTATTATTATTTAACTTCGGTGTATTATCTACTTAGCTGAGCAGAGAAATAAATGTTAGAAATTTAATGATGGTTCAATGACAAGAAATAATAAGTCTACTACTACTACTACTACTATGGGGCGTAACAGCCCAAAATCGAGCCCTAGCCTCCTCTATCTTCTTCCTCCAATTCTCTCTAACCAACGCTATCCTTCTCCAAGCTGCTGTTCCAAGGAGATTTCTGGAGTCAGTCGTCACTGCATCCAGCCATCTACCTTTAGGTCTTCCCACTGGCCTTCTCCCATATATT